AAGTGGAATGACTATATCCAAGTCACAACCAAATTTATTTCCTGACAGTTTGTACAGATTCATATTTACCTTGAGCTTTTCACATCATTTTGAAAAATGTTTATAAAAAGCCAATTGTTTTGCATGTTCTTTTACAAAATACAATGACATTAACATGCCATTTAACTTGATCAGCTCTATTAAAAAGAAAGATTAATATGGTCACAGTCTCTGGGCTGCCTATGCACAGTATTGTCAGCCTGGCCTCTTTTTTTTTTTCTTTGTATTTAAGCCTTCATCTCTCCCTGGAGAAGAAAATGGCAACCCTCTCCAGTATTCTTGCCTGGAGAATTCCATGGCCAGAGGAGCCTGGCAGGCTACAGTCCCTGGGGTCACAGAGAGTCAGACATGACTGAGTGACTATCACACTCACTTCATCTCTACTTTTTATTATCAAGCAATGTAACTATAATACTCTGTGCATTTAAAGAAAAATTAGGGGGAGTATAGTTTCTTTACAATGTGGTGTTATTTTCTGCTGTATAGCAAAGTGAATCAGCTCTAAGTATACGTGAAAGTGAAGGTGTTAGTCGGTCATCTGGGTTCGACTCTTTGCGACCCCATGGACTGCAGCCCATCAGACGCCCCTGTTCACAGAATTCTTCAGGGAGAATTCTACCCACTGGAGCGGGTAGCCATTCCCGTCTTCAGATCTTCCCGACACACGTCTCCTGCATTACAGGCAGATTCTTTACATTCTGAGCCACCAGGGAAGCCCCATAAATATTTATATATTCCCCCCTCTTTTTAAAATTTCCTTTCCATTTAGGTCACCACAGAACATTGACTAGAGTTCCCTGTGTTACAGTAGGTTCTCACTAGTTGAATATTTTATATGTAGAAGTACATATAAGTCAATCCAAATCTCCCAATTCATCTCATCCTCCCTTTCCTCTTCAGTTCAGTTAAATTGCTCAGTCATGTCCTTCTCTTTGCCACCCCATGGACTGCAGCATGCCAAGATTTCCTATCCATCACCAACTCCCAGAGCTTGCTCAAACTCTTGTCCATCGACTCAGTGATGCCATTCAACCATCTCATCCTCTGTCATCCCCTTCTCCTCCTGCCTTCCATCTTGCCCAGCATCAGGGTCTTTTCCAATGAGTCAGTTCTTTGCATCAGNAGTTGCTCAGTCATGCCTGACTCATTGTTGCAATGGTAAATGAGACTGTTTCCTTAATTTTTCTTTCTGATATTTTGTTGTTAGTGTATAGGAATGCAAGACATTTTTTTTTTGCATTAATTTTATATCCTACAACTTTACCAGATTCATTGATTAGCAATAACAGTTTTCTTGTGGTATCTTTAGGATTTTCTGTGTATAATATCATGTCATCCCCAGACAGTTCCAGTTTTACTTCTTCTTTTCTGATTTGGATTCCTTTTATTTCTTTTCTTCTCTGATTGCCGTGGCTAGACCTTCCAAAACTGTGTTGAATAATAGTGGTGAGAGTGGATATCCTTGTCTTGTTCCTGATCTTAGAGAAAATGCTTTTGGTTTTTTACCATTGAAAATGATGTTTGATGTGGGTTTGTTGTATATGGCCTTTATTATGTTGAAGTAGATTCCCTTTATGCACACTTTCTGGAGAATTTTTATTATAAATTGGTTTTGAATTTTGTCAAAAGCTTTTCCTGCATCTATTGAGATGATCATATGGTTTTTATTCTTCAATTTTTAATATGGTGTATTGCATCAATTGATTTTTGTATATTGAAGAATCCTTGCATCTCTGGAATAAAATCCATTTGATCATGCTGTATGAAACTTTTAATGTATTGCTGGATTCTGCTCTCTAGGATTTTGTTGAGGATTTTTACCTATGTTCATCAGTGATATTGGTCTGTAGTTTTCTTTTGCGTGATATCTTTGTCTGGCTTTGTTACAAGGGTGATGGTGGCCTCATAGAATGAGCTTGGGAGCTCCTTCTTCTGCAATTTTTTCAGAGTCTGAGAAGGATGGTTGTTAGCTCTTCTCTAAATATTTGATAGAACTTGCCTGTGAAGCCATCTGGTCCTGGACTTCTGTTTTTTGTAAGATTCTAAATCACAGTTTCAATTTCATCGCTTGTGATTAATCTGTTCGTATTTTCTATTTCTTCCTGGTTCAGTCTCAGAAGGTTGTACCTTTCTAAGAATTTGTCCATTTCTTCCAAGTTGCCCATTTTTTGCATATAATTGCTTGTAGTAATCTCTTAGGATCTCTTTTATTTCTGTGTAATATTTTATAATTTCTCCTTTCTCATTTCTAATTTTATTTATTTGAGTCCTATCCCTTTTTTTCTTGATGAGTCTGGCTAAAGGTTAATCAATTTTATCTTCTCAAAGAACCAGATCTTAGTTTCATTGATCTTTGCTCTTGTTTCCTTCATTTATTTTTCATTTATTTCTACTCTGATTTTTTTATGATTTATTTTGTTCTCCTAACTTTGCATTTTGTTTGTTCTTTCTCTAGTTGCTTTAGGTGTATGATTAACTTCTTTATTTGAGATTTTTTTTATTTCCAGAGAGGATTGTATTACTATAAACTTTCCCCTTAGAACTGCTTTTGCTGCATCCCATAGGTTTGAGGTCATTGTGTTTTCACTGTCATCTAAACAAATGAGAGTCCAAAATAAAATAATAAAAACAAAACTAACCTAAACATAAAACAAAAACTGAACAACAAACAAAAAACTAAAAGAAAAGCTAAGAAAACAAAAGACAAACACACAAAAGTGACAAAAGCAAAAACAAAAGTTTTAGAAAGATAAAAATAAAAGGAAATAAAAACCCAAATGAAACAAAACAACACAGAAATACCAAAAGAAAAAATCAGCTGCAACAAAAAACAAAGGACAACAAACAGAAAAGAGCAGAATAATAACAAAAAGTAAAAAAAAAAGTTAGAAAAATTTTAAATATATATATATTAGAAAAGGTAAAATAAATGAAACAATAGCAGCAACAAAACAAAACAGAAAAAAAAAAAAATTCGCTGGTGCCCCCACTATCAGTGTCCTTGCCCACAGGGTGAGGGACATCCAACCCCTACTGGGAGGCCCTCCATGATCTCTAAGTAGGTCTCTGGACCTGCCGTGTCAGCTCCATCTCTGAGGGTGTTCCTTTCACCAGTATTTGCTCTTGAAGCTGGCCTGGAGTGCAGTGTCCCTGCAGGCCAGTTAGGCTTCCACAGGCATATCTGCAGGGGCTGGCACAGTCAGGGGAGGCTTTGGAGAAGGGTGGCAGTTGGCCTGCCTGGACCTAATGACCAGAAGAGGCCTTGTTGGAGGCAGGGTTCAGGCCTGGGAACCATGTGGCCCTTGGAGGCTTTGGTGGGGGAACCTGGCCTCTTGAGTTAGAGGGGGGAAATTTGACTGCCACAGCATTGAATGTGCCACAGCTGTGAATGTGGTTAAAAAAGAAAGACAGGAAGAAAATCAGCACCGTGAGTAATCTAGTAATTGGGTTCTGCCCTCTTTTGAGCTAACTTGAGACCACAGTCACATGAAACAACCACCAAAGATGATAACAGCTCAGCAAGGGTCACTTGGCCTTGACAAGTGTACACAGAGCATGCTGGGTGGGAAACCAGCTTGGCTTTCTTAGAGGCTGCTGCATACTCTCTGGCTTGGCTGAGGCCATGGAGGGGGCTGAGATCCGACACACCATTGACCCAAGCAGTGGGCCCTACACACATATCACTCTTGCAGAAGGGGCCTCCCAGAGGGGCAGCTTTTGCAATCTATCCCCCTTCAAGAGGTGTCACTTTCAAATTTACACAAGGCTTTACATGTGTCAGATGTGACCTCAATAATCCTTTCCAGTTAGGAGCCTTAAACTTGACAGAGAGGGAGCAGGAGAGTGCCTAACTATTGCTTCTCTGTGTCAACTACTTGTGGAGGCTTCCCATTCCTCCATCCATAAAATTCAATTCATGAACTTCTGAGACCTGTGTTAAAGTATCAGATGACCTGTCCCCCAAGGCTAGGGGCCCCTGTGTTCCTTATCCAAGCCATTCCAGAACCCTACAGAAGCTCCCGTCTAGATTGCTGGAAAACAGTGTGAAAGTGTTAGTTGCTTATTCATGTCTGACCCTGCAACCCCATGGACTGTATCCTCTGTCCATGGAATTCTCCAGGCAAGAATACTGGCCTTGGTAGTCATTCCCATCTCCAGGGGATCTTCCCAACCCAGGAGTTAACCCTGGGTCTCCTGCAATGCAGGCAGATTCTTTTACCATCTGAGCCATCAGGGAAGCCCTCTGGATTTCTAGCCCCTCTCAAATCACCATCTTCATTTGGTTGACCTTGTAGCCTAATGGTTAAGCTACAGACACTAAAGGAGAAAGACAGGGATTTGAATTCTGCCTCGGTGATAGTATCTGTGAGATTTCACATCCCTCCTCACCTGCGGATTCGATTAAAGAACCTCTGTTTTACCTTGCAGGGCTGCTGTGAGGATTAAGTGAGATACTGCAAATCACTTTCCCAGTGTGTTTTAAGTGTCCAATGAACGTGCACCCTCACTGTAATTGTGCATTCGGGTCATCTTTCCTCCCCAACCCCTCTCCCTGGTCCAATCTTTGGTATAGGATCGTTTCTTCCCATTGCAATGGGAAGACTTCTGGTTATCTGTATCAATCTTGGTTCTGACATTTGCATACTCAGTGTAGCAGGAATAGGAGAAAAAAAAAGTGCTCCCCGAGCTGAAATGCACAGAAGGGTTGCCATCTTCACTAGCTCTTCCTTTCCTATTCCCCCAAGTAGAATTCTGAGTGCCTCATTAGGCCTCCAGCACTGTGAGTGTTCATCTACTTCTTTCCTATCAAGGAAAATGTATAAGTCAAAAAGATGAAATGTTCCTAACAGTACTCACTCAGGTAAATTAGTTCTCAGTATTTGAAAGGAGCTCTGTCTCCTTTCCGTGCCAGAGTTCTGGCTGAAGGGCTTCTAGTCTTCCGGCAAAAGCAGAAGGTACACAGCCCCACCCAGCCTTGAGGAGACCCCTCCCGCCCATCATCTGTTTAAAATTAAACAAGTACCACGAGCCAGAGAAAGGCTTGAACTTTCCCATTGCTCCTCTGTCGGCCTCTCTCCGAGGAGGTAGAGGATTAAATGACAGCCAAACTGTCCTCCTAGTAAAAAAGAATATTCTAGAGTCAAGTCCAGTGATGAGCGGAAGGGCAGGGGGCTGGAAGACTGAATTCCAACCCTGGTTCTGGCTTCTTTCTGACTCTAACCTGAGTTAGAGTTGACCTTTTGTCTTCCGGAGAAAAGTAGGTGTAAGTATAAGGGCTGTGACTATGTGTTGCCTATGAAGTGGCTTTGCCAAACAATTAAATGTGAATCTAATCAAACCACTAGATCTAACTATCAGCTTACAGGAAGTACAGAGGATGGAGGAACATGTTAAATGACACCAAACGGATATAATCAGCAAAATCCAATTGTGAGAAAATTTACAAGGCCAGTGGCTCTGTCTCTTCAACAGTGGCAGCAGGGAGGGGACTTTACGTATCAACCAAATGTCGGGACTTTTTTAAAAAAAATTGAGGCACAATTGACCTACAAATTATGTAGGTGTCAAGTGTACACCATAGTGATTCACAGTTTTTAAAAGTTGTTTATAGCTAATATAAAATATTGGCTATACTCCCTATGTTGTAAGTTATATCTTTGTATCTTATTTATTTTATACATATTAGTAGTAGTTTGTATCTCTTAATCCTCTATCTCTGTCTTGCCCTTCCCACTTCCCTCTCCACACTGGTAACCCCTAGATTGTTCTCTATATCCTTGAGTCTGTTTCTTCTTTATTATATTCGCTAGCTTCATTTTTTAGATTCCACATGTAAGTGATGCATACAGCATTTGTCTTTCTCTCTCTGACTTATTTCAGTAAAAATAATACTCCCTAAGTCCATTCTTGTTGCAAATGATGACATTCTTTTTTATAATTTAGTAGTATTCCATTGTGTGTGTGTGTGTATGTGTGTATACATGGTACATATATACACACATATATACATATATCACATCTTCTTTATCCATTCATCTGTTGAGGGACACTTCGGTTGATTCCATATCTTAGCAACTGTAACTAATGTGCTATGAACATTGGGGGGTGTGTGTCTTTTTGAATTAGGGTTTTTGTTCTCTTCAGATAGATACCCAGGACTGGAATTGCTGGATCATATGGTATTTCTATTTTTAATAAAGAGACTATTAATTCCAGTTCAAAGAAATCAGCTATTAAAAAAACATCTGGGGACAGTCTGAGATATCCGAACAATGTTTGGATATTTGATGGTATTAAGAAATTATTGTAATTTTTTTTTAGATACAACACTGGTATTATGGCTACATTAAGAAAGTCTTTTTTTCTTGGAGATACCTATTAAAATATGCACAGATACCACTAGGATGATATAATAAGAAATAATATGTGAGAGGTTCAAAATAAGTGGATGGGGTATGAATGAGGAAACAAGATCTGTCTTGTGCTGATTATTACAACTGTTCAGTGAAACTATGGAGGTTCATTATAATATTTTCTCGACTTTGTATACGTTTAAAATGGTTCATCATAGAATGTTAAAGAGTACAAAAGAATGGGCTTTGGCTAGAGGGAGACTGTGTTGATCTACCTTTTATTGGGTCAATTAACTTTTGATTCCGTTTCTTAGTGAGGACAAATAGAGCACCAGCATCACCGGATTGTTGTGGGCATAAGGAAAGCACTTAGCACAATGTCTGGCACATGAGTACCCAAGCAATGTTAGTTCTCATTAGTAACAGTATAAGAGGCAGACTTCCCTGGTGGCTCAGGTGGTAAAGCGTCTGCCTGCAATGAGGGAGACCAGGGTTCGATCCCCGGGTCGGGAAGATCCCCTGGAGAAGGAAATGGCAACCCACTCCAGTACTCTTGCCTAGAAAATTCGATGGATGGAGGAGCCTGGTGGGCTACAGTCCATGGGGTCTCCAAAGGAGTTGGACACGACTGATCGACTTCACTTTCACTTAAAGAGGTTGGACTCATTAATCTCTCTGGCTCTTCCCACCCTAGCAATCTAGGGCATCTAATTCTAGCCCATTTCTGTCACACCTTAGCCTTCTCTATTTTCTCTACAACTCCACGTTCGCCATTCTGCAAACTCTAACTTCCTCTAATGGTCACCTCCCTTTGCCTGGGGCCTCTGGACACTTTACCTGGGCAGCCAGCTGTCAGTTCCATAAGGCGTGTTGGACCAGTTCCTAGATTGGCAAACGCAGGTTTCTGATTTCCTCATCTGCTCACTCACTATCTGCCTCTTTTTCTTTTTGGTAGCTTCCTGCCACCTGAAACAAGAGCGCACAGCTTCGGGAGGAAGGGGGAAACTAGGGGTGGAGAAGAGTGAGTAGGGAGCAGTCACATCCTGACTCCAGCCCTCCTCAACCCCTCCCCACCCAACAGAGGAGTGGGCAGGACTGGATGGGAAGGAGGCGCCTGGCACCTGTGTCCCCAGCAGTGTGGGGCAGAGCACACACTCCTGTCTTCTCACTGTAACGCGGGAACAGTGATACCCCATTCAGTTAATACAGAGCTGTGACGGAGCGTCAACTCAAGAGCTGGACTTCCAGGGCTGAAATGCCCCAGCTCTGCCTCAGGTTCACTGTGCGATCTGGGACCTCTCTGTGAGTCAGTGTCTGCACTGGCAAAATGCAAACAGCAATAGCAGGGACCTCATAGGATTGTTGGAGGATTCAACTGAACATCACCTGGCACACGGAAGGCAGTCAGTGAACTTTGGCTGTTGGTACTGCCTTCACCTCTGCCATAATCTCGTGCAGTGCAGTTGAGAGCTCACTCTCAAGGCTGGCACCTCCCTTAGGCCATCTGTCGGCCCCACTGAACTCCCATACCCGCCCTGGGAGGTCCACCCGCCAGGAGTCGGGGCCAGCTCCAGAGTCCAGGGGATGTCACAGACGGGGGGCACATGAGGAAAGTCACTGTGTTAGCCTTCCCTGATTTCAGATCTTTCTTTCCTTCCCCCCAAGGCAATGTTGGAGTAAAATCCTTCCAGAGAAGAACCTGGCGTGGGTGGGACGGGGAAGGAGAAAAGAAGGGGAGTGAGAGACTGTTGCACATCTCAGTTTGTGTGTGAAGTAAGGGACCTCTCCCGGGAAGACCAGAGATGGAGGTTCAGCTGGGCACACCCCCGCTTCTCCCCAGCCCTGCCAGAGAAAACAGATCACCCACCCAGGCTGCACCAACTCCTCCTGTAGGCGTGTACAGGCCAGGAGCCTGTGGGCCAGGTGAGGGGTGCCTGGAGCTGTTAGTTACTCCCTCTTTGGAGTGGCAGCTTCTCGCCTCGGGCCTTCTGGCTATGAATCATTACTCAGCATTGGATGGAGCCCAAGAAATGTGGAAAACAAGAACGACAGGAAGCAACAAGAAACCAGCACCACAAAGTCCTATGGAAAATAGGCCATTGGGCTGAGCCTGGGGAGGGGCTTAATGTTGGCACCCACAGGCTGGGGATCACGTTGTTCTAAATATCACCCCACAGAGTCCCTGGGTGCAACACTTGGTCGTTGAGCTCTAGGGCATCAGATCTGCTTTCTGACTTGAGCCTCTGCACTAATAAGTAGATGTGTCTACCCACTCTCGGCCCACACAAACCCCTGGACCATGGAACTGCAGGCAGGAAAACTTGTGAGCACAATCAGTCCTTGTGTTCCCTCCTCTGGGTGTTGAGAAAGATCTGGAATGGAACTAGCTTTGTGGGGATTTCCAGGTGCCGAGTCCCTCGAGCATGTTTGAACCGAGCGAGCTTGGCTGTGTTAATACAGAGCTGTGACGGAGCGTCAACTCAAGAGCTGGACTTCCAGGGCTGAAATGCCCCAGCTCTGCCTCAGGTTCACTGTGCGATCTGGGACCTCTCTGTGAGTCAGTGTCTGCACTGGCAAAATGCAAACAGCAATAGCAGGGACCTCATAGGATTGTTGGAGGATTCAACTGAACATCACCTGGCACACGGAAGGCAGTCAGTGAACTTTGGCTGTTGGTACTGCCTTCACCTCTGCCATAATCTCGTGCAGTGCAGTTGAGAGCTCACTCTCAAGGCTGGCACCTCCCTTAGGCCATCTGTCGGCCCCACTGAACTCCCATACCCGCCCTGGGAGGTCCACCCGCCAGGAGTCGGGGCCAGCTCCAGAGTCCAGGGGATGTCACAGACGGGGGGCACATGAGGAAAGTCACTGTGTTAGCCTTCCCTGATTTCAGATCTTTCTTTCCTTCCCCCCAAGGCAATGTTGGAGTAAAATCCTTCCAGAGAGGAACCTGGCGTGGGTGGGACGGGGAAGGAGAAAAGAAGGGGAGTGAGAGACTGTTGCACATCTCAGTTTGTGTGTGAAGTAAGGGACCTCTCCCGGGAAGACCAGAGATGGAGGTTCAGCTGGGCACACCCCCGCTTCTCCCCAGCCCTGCCAGAGAAAACAGATCACCCACCCAGGCTGCACCAACTCCTCCTGTAGGCGTGTACAGGCCAGGAGCCTGTGGGCCAGGTGAGGGGTGCCTGGAGCTGTTAGTTACTCCCTCTTTGGAGTGGCAGCTTCTCGCCTCGGGCCTTCTGGCTATGAATCATTACTCAGCATTGGATGGAGCCCAAGAAATGTGGAAAACAAGAACGACAGGAAGCAACAAGAAACCAGCACCACAAAGTCCTATGGAAAATAGGCCATTGGGCTGAGCCTGGGGAGGGGCTTAATGTTGGCACCCACAGGCTGGGGATCACGTTGTTCTAAATATCACCCCACAGAGTCCCTGGGTGCAACACTTGGTCGTTGAGCTCTAGGGCATCAGATCTGCTTTCTGACTTGAGCCTCTGCACTAATAAGTAGATGTGTCTACCCACTCTCGGCCCACACAAACCCCTGGACCATGGAACTGCAGGCAGGAAAACTTGTGAGCACAATCAGTCCTTGTGTTCCCTCCTCTGGGTGTTGAGAAAGATCTGGAATGGAACTAGCTTTGTGGGGATTTCCAGGTGCCGAGTCCCTCGAGCATGTTTGAACCGAGCGAGCTTGGCTGCCTTCGCCTGCCTGACAAGGGGTGGGCCAGGCCACACCTGGTCCTGCCGAGTCATGGACCCAAAGTGTTTGTCACAGCGTCTCAGCAAAATGTCAGGCCAGGTTTAACAGAAACAAAAGTAAAGTGATTAATAACCACACCACATCACCAAAAGCCCAACTCTAGATAGAGTGATATGCACATTTTAGCTTAGTATGTCTTAAAAACTGTAGGTAAAGAAAATTCTTCTGAGCAAAAGGAGCATGCGATTTTGTACCATCTGGGCATCAGGATCTCAACACCAGCAGTGAGGTGTGTGTACTGAGGGGTGAGAGTGGTGAAGGAGTGTGGTTTATAGCATAGTTGTTGGAGGAATTTTCTTTCTTTCTTTTTCTCCTTTGGACTTTATAAAAACAAAGAAAGGATTTGTCGAAAATGACAGGACCCACTCTTCACAATGAGATCATGTTAGATTCAGTGTATATGCAACCAGTAATAAAGTGGGGGGGGGGGGGTTTCAAACTGCCTCCTACTTACCATAATATGCCCAATTAATTCACCACTTCCACAGACTCAGTATGGCTTTGTTCTCAATATTGAAATGGGGGTGTGAGGCCAACACCTCTGAAAATGGAGAGGACTCTTGTGGATCTGAAAAAGAATGAAAAGATGCTCATCACCATCATCAGGGAAAAGCAAACCAAATTCAATGAGATAACACCTCACACCTGAGATGGTGGGGCTACTATCAAAAAGAAAATAAGTATTGGCAGGGATGCGGAGAAAATGTAATCATTGTACACTTGTGGTGAGAATGTAAAATAGTACAGCTGCTGGAAAAACAATAGGGTGTTCTTCAAAAAATTAAAAACAGAATTACCATATGATCTAGCAATTCTATTAATACTTGGTATACATCCAAATTAAAACAGAATTTTGAAGAGAGATTTGTCCACCCGTGTTCATCACAGCATCACTTACAGTAGTTAAAATGTTTAAAAATAGAATTACCATACGATCTAGCAATTCTACTTCTGGATATATATTCAAACAGATTGAAAGCAGAGTCTTAGAAATTTGTCCACCCATGTTCATCACAGCATTATTCACAGTAGTTAAAACTGGACATATGCATAAGTAAAATGTGATATATATTTATATATACAAACAATGGAATATTATTCAGCCTTAAAAAGGAAAACATTCTGCAATATGAATCTTGAGGACGTTATACTAAATGAAACAAGCTAGTCACATAAATACGAATACTGTATGACTCCACTTATGTGAGGTTCTTAGAGTAGTCAAAACCACAGTGACAGAAAGCAGTGTGGTGATGGCCAGGGGCTGGTGGATGGAGGAATGGGAGTTATTACTTAATGGGTCTAAAGTTTGAGTTTTACAAAATGAAGAGTTCTGGAAATGGAAGGTGGTGACTGTGCACAACAATATGAATGCATTTAACAGCATTGAAACGTACACTTATAAATGGTTATGATGGTAAAATGTATAAGTCTCTTCTACCACAATAAAATAAATTGAAAAACAAGTTTTCTCTAAAATTTATGGTCCCAGATAAATACCATGGGAATAGAAAATATAAAATATGACCTTTCAAATTTCTCACATTCAACATCAAAAATCCTTATTAATAGTAACTGTGCCATACAAAATAACAATGATGACAACAATAATAATTACACCAACAACTCTGGAAACTCTTGAGTTTTGGTATTTTCAGTTAAAATGGTGAAACCTATTAACTGTATGTTACTATTAATGCTGACAGTAAGCTATAAGTTTTAACTTAAATAAATTCTTTAAAAACCTAAAAGCTAAGAAATATGTTGGGGTCCTAACCCCCAGTACCTCAGAATGTGACCTTATTTACAGGCAGTCAAGTTAAAACAATGGCTCTTAGGATGGGCTCTAACCTAGCACGACTGGTGTCCTTATAAAAAGGGGGACATTTAGACCCAGACAGACACACACAGAGGAAGAGATGACCGTCCACAAGCCGAGGAGAGGGCCCTGGAAGAGATTCCTCCCTCACAGCCCTTGGCAGAAACCAGCCCCGCAGACCTCCTGGGCCTGAATCTCCAGGCCCCATTATGGCAGGACAATACATCTCAGAAGTTTAAGTCTCCCAGGGTGTGGCACTTTGTCAGGGCAACCCTAGTAGACTAACGCAAGGGACCGCAGGTGATTCTATGACACATCTGTCAGCCGTCTTCTCGGGACCCGTCCCGTCAATGTTCAGAGAACCTGGAGGGGCCCCATTGCATGCCCATCCCTCGTCACGAGGAACTGCTGTAAACTCCTGGCCAGTCTCTGCACTTGCTGGTCTGGTCTGTGCCCTTCTTTTCCTGAGTCTAGAGCAGTGATGGCCCAGATGCTCTGACCTACACTTGTCCTTCCATTGCTCAGCTCTTGGCCTGGATTTCCTGCTCTCAGAGAGCCCCTGACCTTCCTCTTTGCCATAGCCTGAATTTGATCTTTGATTATTCTTTCAGTGCCACTGATGACAGGAAGGATGTGAAACCTCCTTTGGTGGAAGAATCCTACTTGGAGATATACTGGAGACGGCCCCTCTGTCTGTCAGGCACTGACCTTGTCGCAGTGGGACACAGTAGAATGAGTCCCATACTGATGGAACTCGTCACTAACCATCCTTTCAGCAACAGTAACAGACAACTACTGCTTAAAATGTTGCCCCTATCATATCATTTGGGTTCCACTTGAGCATCTAGATGACTTTCTCCTTGTGAAACAACTAGCTGTCCTCTAGTAATATGTTATTGAAGTCCAGGGTTGCAGCAGCTGCATATGGTTGAGGAAGGGACCTAGGTTTACCAGGTAAAGCTACCCAGTTGAAACCTCTATGGCCAGCTGAAACCTCTAGATTCTCAGTCACACTAGAATTGTCTGCAGACCCTGAGCTTCCCAGGGAAAAGAGAGATGGTTTAGCAAAGCCCACTGCCACATCCAGAAAACCAATCCAAAATGTTCTCTTTTTTGTAAGACTGCAAATACATAAGAACAGGAATATGTATTTGTACTTATCTGTATTTTCCTAAAGAAACAGGGGTAAGATTTTTAAAAAAATAAAAATGCCTACCAGTGAGGGTGAGAAGAAGTGGAGAGAAGAAGTGGGGAAAATAGATGAAGGGGGAGGAAGTGGCAACAAGATTTCCCAAGTGTACTAGGCTTTAGGACTGTGACTTTTCAGTCATGTAAGTGAATTATACCCTCCCTAAATTTATTAAAAATGAAGTTTTAATTAAAAAAAACTGTCTATTGAAAACGGCCTCTAAGTCCCTTTGAAAATGATACACAGTCTACAGAATTTGTAAAAGTTAATTTAAATGTTCCTGTTACCCTAGTTTAAAAACGAAGACAGTTTGTTTTGGCATAAACAAGAGCCTGTAGAACCTGTTGGTAATAATTTCCAGACCGGGCATTAAATACCAGTGTAGTATTTGGAAGCTCTTGACCTCTTCATCTGGGTTTCATAGGGAACCAATTGAGTGGCCTTGGACAAATCACGGTCCCCCCTTCTCCTTACTTCCTCGCCTATAACAGCAGCAAATTCCATCCCTTCACCATGCTCCCGGTGTTGTTATGAAGCACAAGTGTGAAAACGCTTTGAAAATATCATTATCAGTATCCTGACACTACAGTTGCCAAATGTACACCTACAGCAGGAGGCCACCGCAAAGTATACTAAACTTGCAACAAGACAAGGGACAATCTTTAGCGTATGTGTCTCTATGGCACTATCCTTTTATTAAAAAGCAGAGACATTACTTGGCCAACATAGGTCCGTGTAGTCAGGGCTGTGGTTTTTCCAGTAGCCATGTATGGATGTGAGAGTTGGACTCTAAAGAAAGCTGAGCGCCGAAGAATTGATGTTTTCGAACTGCAGTGTTGGAGAAGACTCTTGAGAGCCCCTTGGACCGCAAGGAGATCCAACCAGTCCATCCTAAAGGAAATCAGTCCTGAATATTCATTGGAAGGACTGATGCTGAAGCTGAAACTCCAATACTTTGGCCACCTCATGTGAAGAACTGACTCATTGGAAAAGCCCCTGATGCTGGAAGGGATTGGGGGCAGGAGGAGAAGGGGATGACAGAGGATGAGATGGTTGGATGGCATCACCGACTCCATGGACATGAGTTTGAGTAAACTCCGGGAGATGGTGATGGCGTGCTGCGGTTCATGGGGTCACAAAGAGCCGGACACGACTGAGTGACTGAACTGATGGCATTATCCTTAAACTTGAGTCACTTAGATGGACATGGATCTCCTTACTTTCCCAATCGCACCTTCCCCAAGCAATTTGCTGAAGAGTGGTTTAATTTAAAAAGTCTGGGGAAAGAAGGCAGAAACCAGCCTCTTCATTTGAGTCAGAAAAGGAAGGCTGATTCTGCAAACAGATGATGAGTTTTAGGAATGCTTGACATACACTGTGATTAGGCGCTCAGTCATGTCTGACTCTTTGAGACCCCATGGACTGTAGCCCAGCAGGCTGCCCAGTCCAGGGGGATTCTCCAGGCAAAAATACTAGAGTGGTTGCCATGCCCTCCTCCTTGGTTCTGACTTAAAATCCTTATGCTTCAAATCCTCTCTCTCCCTATGCTAAAAATACACAAAATTAAGGAAGAGGCAAGAAAGGTGGTAAGATTTTTGAAGGGAAGTTTCAAGAATGAGAGGAAAAACAAGAAAATAAATAGCACAATGTGTCCTGACATGTTATTTTGTTTCCCTTTAGGTTGTTTTTTTTTTTTCCTCCTAGGAAAATATCCAAGATTTTGTCTCTTCTTTACAAAAATGTGGAAGGAAAGTTGGACCTGAACCCCAGCACTGTAAAACTTCTTTGTGCGCGGCTCTGCAGAGCTTTTCTTTTCCTGCAGAAGCCAACCTACAATGTGGCAAGTTTGTGGGGCCAGGAAGGGAGGAGTAATCCGAGCGGAGGCCGGGCCGCTCCGGGCGCGGGCGAGGGCGGGGCCCGGCTCCGGGCGCTCGGCCCCTCCCAGGGCCGCAGGGGAAAAGGAGGAGAGACCTACATTTAAAAAGGCAGGAACCTACCAACTGCAGCGATCCACAAACACGCCCCGGAGAATTCCCATTTGTGAGGTCAAATCAAGGTCAAAAGAGTTAGCTAATCATCTCTGAAAACCCCTTACCTAGGGGTCTGTGCAACACCCCAAATCATGAACTAAGCCTAACTTGATCTTTAAAACATAACCACCCCCGACAGCCTGACAACATGGCTCTTCCAGGACCAGGCTGGGGCGTTCCTGGGTCTCCTGGAGCCAGGGTTGCGTTGCCAGCATCAGGCAGTAGGGGGCGCGCGTGTGCAAGAGGAGGGAAGCCGCGGGGGCGCAGGCAGGAAATGTCTGAGACCATGTCCTTAACAGGGCTGGGTTGGAAAAGTGGTGGGTTTTTTTTTTTTTTTCTCCTTCTGCTGAGCGAATGCTTAGAACTCCAGGCTTCTCTGCAAAGATTTGTGCTTACTGACTTATAGGGAAGGGAAAACCAGCCTCAGGGAGTTGCAGAATGAAGTCAGCTCTATGCCCACTGGGTGAAAGGAACCTCAAGCTTCCCCATTGCCACCGAGGAGGAGCCCCAGCTCCGGGCCTCAGCAGGTCCCAGAAGGCCTGAAAGCTTTGCTTCTAAGCGGAGGCAGAAGACCCAGAGGCCCAGACGGTGAGCTGCTCTGGGTCCGAAACCTGCCTGAGAGAACAGGGTTTTGTACAGTTGGTAGCAGGAGAGAATGTACACTGCAGGAGGGGAGAGGCGCGCCTTTCTCTCTGTTTCGCTGCCTTCCAGAACACAGCAGGTGACGCTGGGCCTTAAGGTGCCTTCAGAGAGGCCTCCACGTTGACAGAGCCTAGTAACTTTATGGTTCGTTCTGACAACGGCTTTGAAGTCAGATGGAAAAGGAGCACTACCTTTGGCACTGCATGGCCCCAAGCCCAGAGTGAGCTGGGGAGGAGCTGTGAGGCAGGCAGTAGTTCTGGAAAATCAGTGCTGACAGGTCATTTTTACTCTGGGGTGTAGCGTTCTCTCATTTTTTTTTCCCCCTTTCTTCACCAAAAATGTGATTTCTTACCCCAGGAAAGCAAAGCTGCAGCAGGTGAGACATGCCCTGGGGGCTGGCCGGCAACAACTTCTTTCCTAGTAAAAGAGAGAAGCAAAAAATGGCCATTTGCTTATACTTTGGATTTGTATATGGAAGTTAAGTTATATTCGCTAATTAATGGTGCTCATTTACAGAAAGCATTGTTTTGGCCTTGGTTCCAAATACATGTGAAATTTCACTCTAAAACACATACTCCTGTAAGTTTTTAATTTTTGCTTAAAATGCTGACTTCTCAAGTTATTTTTCTGCACCAGTAGAAAAGACTTAACCAAAGTTTCCTGTAAAATTAATACTTCTGCCATCATGCTATTCCAAAGAGACACCGCCATGCACTTTGAATGTGTCTAAAAGATGTAATCAGGAGAGTCACGATGCAAAGGTCAAAAGGACGACTTAATGGCAATCATGTTCTTTGTATTTTCATTTGTCTCAGGGTTTCCCCTAATATAGAGTGATACTTGTGTATCCCCAATATGAAATGGTACCTGTTGGCATGTTATATGTTGAGTTTGCATGTTATAAGGAACTTAAGTAACCTGGAATATTTCTCATTTCTTATGGCCCATCAAAAAATTTTACCTTACATTTGCTGGTACTCTAGTGTGCATAATTCATGATTTATTTGCTGGTACTCTAGTGTGCATAATTCATGATTTATTCACTCAACATAGCCCTCTATGGGCTAGGTATAGGAAACAAAGGTGACGATCCACCCTCAAATAACTCAGCCTGGTTGTGTGTGGATTTAGATGTGTAAGTGACAGGAAGAGTGTGCCGAGAGCATTGAGGAAGAAAGGTTTAATTCCATCTGGATAAGTCGATATTTTCTGGGGTCCTGAGCCCAGGCACTGAATTCTGACTTCACTGCTTTCTAGTCATCTGACTGGGGCAAGTTTCTGAACCTATCTGAGCCCCAGTTTCAACACCTATACTATATAGGAAGAATAATGGGACTCACATCATGGATCCCCGCCCCCCCCCCGTGGTAATTCAATGGAATGCACCATAGCAAGCACTCAATGTGTGTGGGTGATGATGATGATGATGGTGGGGGAGGTGGAGTGAGGATGAAGGCAAAGAGATGGAGAAGGCGTCACAGAGATTATAGGGTCAGGAATTCAGTGGGTAAAGGAGGAAGATGTGGAAGAGTGAAGAACATTCCAGCTGGGGCCCTTGCTGTGTTTTAACAAGCCCCCAGGTGATTCTGAGGCACAGTGAAGTTCAAGAACCACTGAGCCGTGGTAAGCTGAGGATTTTTTTTTTCCCCTTCTAGCTGTGAATTTTAAGTAAGGGAATGCTATGCTTGGATTTTCACTTTTGGAGAGAATGCACTGGTGGCTGTAGGAAGGCTGGATTAGAGATCGGGAGGCAGGAGGCAGGGACAGGAGTCCAAGTGAGCAATGACAGGGCCTCAAGCCTGGGTCATAACGGTGGGGATGCGCAGAAAGAGAAAGATGTATGGTATATGATAGCGGTAACACAGAGGTACTGGTAAGAGGGGGCACCTAGCAGACGTTAAAGTGTAGAATCGACTAGATTTAGTCTTTGGATTTAGAGATGAGGAGAGAAGGAGGCAGGGTGAGTCCAGGGGTAGTGAACACAGGGTTGTTCACACCAGTGACTAAATGGTGCCTCTGCCGTCTTGCTGAGACCTCTCATCCACCCCTCCCTCTCTCTCCTCCATCGCTGCCAAGGTGACTGACAGCGCAGATCGGCATCCTTGCAGGAGGTCTGGTTCTCCTCTGGAATGCACTGCTCTCTCCAACCACAGCCATCACCTCCCCCACGGCCCCCCACGGCCCCCCACGGCCAAGGGAGTCATTCCGCCAGCCAGTGGTTACCGCCACATAGGCTGGTGAGTCACCTTTCCACAGCAGCTGGTGGCCAACGTCCTTCTCGTGTCCACAGTCAGGGCACACTTCCAGAACCTGCCCTTCACCCCTCACAAACATCTTGACCCAACCTTTGGCGCAGGTTGCCTTGAAAGGGCCAACCACCCACACACCTCCAGAACTGGAGTGCCTCTCGCTCAAAATTGTACTCAGATCACTGCTCCGTCTGTGTTTTCACGGAGATGATTAACTCACTGCTTTATTATTGCCACATCTAAGGTGGAAAGGTTGCAAGAGGGAAGGCAGCAGTGGCTCCTGTTCAGAGTGAAAGGTCTTTCTTTTAAAGCAGTGTTTCTCAGTGTGAGCCCTGCCCTGCATCGAGAGCACTTGAAGTTTGGGGGGAAATGCAGATTCCTGAGTCCTACCATATCCCTGTTGAGTCCCTGGGGGTGGGTAGACTGGAGTTAGAAACGAGGGAATCTATATTGTTAATAAGCATCCCTCATGAGTCCTCAATTACCTGAAAAGCGATAGCGATGGCAGGAGAATTCCTTTTGGAATATTTCTGTCCCACCATGCATCTGGGATGACCTAACAGTCCTGTGGATCTTTCCAGTTTCCTTGGAGGAAGGCAGGGCCTCCGGTCCAGGGGAGGAACCCTGTTCCAGGGTGACCAGCTCAGCAGCTCCTGCCATTCTGTTCATTCCCTTAAGGCGCTGGGGACAGCATGCACATGAAACAAGTCCAGCATACCTGTTTAAAAAGACAAATGCAGGGACTTCCGTGATGGGCCAGTGGTTAAGAATCTGTCTGCCAGTGAAGTGACACAGGTTTGATCTGAGCTAGTGCTAGTGGTAAAGAACCCGCCTGCCATTGCAGGAGATGTAAGAGATGCAGCTTCGATCCCCGGGTCAGGAAGATCCCCCGGTCAGGAAGATCCCCCGGAGGAGGACATAGCGACCCACTCCAGTACTCTTGCCTGGAGAATCCCTTCAACAGCGGAGCCTGGCAGGCTATGGTCCATGGGGTCACAGAGAGTCAGACCCAACTGGGGCGACTTAGCAACTGGAGCCGAGATCCCACATGCTAGGGAGCAACTGAACACACATGCTGCAACTGCTGAAGCCCGTGAACGCTAGAGCTCATGCCCGGCAAGAAGAGCGTAGCCCCAGCTTGCCACAACTAAAGAAAGGCCTCGGGCAGCCCCAAAGACCCAGTGCAGTCAAGAATAAATAGATTTTTAAAAGACAAAAGCATTCTCATATTCAAAACGATAGTGATGGCTTCCATCACAGTATTGTTTCAAAAGACAAATCCCATGTGCTGCCAAACTCCAAATAGTAGTATTGACTTACCACCCCTAAAACATTTCTCTGCTTCCTTTTACTTGTTTGGAGTAATGAATTTCTCCTAAGTGAAGTCCTCTCTCACCTTTCCTCTTATTCCCCATGACTGACCAGAGTCAGCCAAGCAATCTGTGTTGTTAGACCTGAGTTGGATGCTTAGGAGCAAAGGTAAGTGAGCACCTATGATGTCACAGGAAGGGCACCATTGTCCACGTGCTTTGAACTTGGAGGAACACTGATGCCTGGTAGGCATGCATGCATGTTGAGTTGCTTCAGTCATGTCTGACTCTGTGACCACGTGAACTGTAGCTTTCAGGCTCTGCTGTTCACAGGATTCTCCAGGCAAAGATACTGGAGTGGGTTGCCATGCCCTCCTCCAGGGGATCTTTCCGTCCAGAGATAGAATCGACGTCAGGTGAGTTCTTTACCACTAGCGCCACCTGGGAAGCCTGCCCAATCGGCATGTAGGTTCAAAGAAGGACTCCAAAAGAGAAATTAGTTAGAGGGCTCTGGATAATTGGGTTTGGTTTCCTTGCTCAGCAAGTGTTCATTGAGTTAAGGGCTGAGGGGACAGAGGGTGCAACAGGCATGAGCCACACCCTTGTAGAGCATAAGGTAAGGCTGGCAAGATGAGACACGCACTTTGAAATTCAATACCAATCTGAGGCAGTAAATGTTAACGAGTGGTTGGACATCAAATGCTGGCACCGTCCAGGAAAAAGGGAGAGAGATTGCCCTGGGCTGAAAGTCAAGGAGGACTTAAAGGTGCCCGGAAAATCTGTGCAAGATAAGGAGAGACAGAAAGAACCAATGGAGCTGTCTGGAGAGAGCAGGGAGCAAACGGCACAGCACTGGGGAAAGGGTCCTTGCTGCAGACAGTCAGGCTCTGGATGAAGCCTGTGGCTGTGGCTGGGAATGGTGAGATGACGCTCAAGTTTCACATCTAAACGTTTACCAAATACTTATCCTGTGTCAGGCACGATGTTCAAAACTTGGCATTTTGTTTAGGTCTTACAGCAACACGAAGGAGCTAGTAATATCCCATGATCCATTTTGATGTGAAGAGACTGGCGCTCAGAGAGGTTCGAAACTAGCCCAAAGTCACACAGCAAGTGGCTGGAGGCGCCAGGGCACAGACTCAGGTCTACCAGCATCCGACGTTTGTGTGGTTCGTGGGGGCACTTTCTGTCCTTTCCCCCTTTTCCAGGTCATCGTGCTGCTTGCAGGAGAGGATTAGCAGTGGGGATAAAGTGGGGCCAGGAGGCTGAGTGCTCCCTTCTGGCTGGTGACCCATAGCCTCTGCCTGGTAAAGACTGTATTTCTTGTCCTACCCACATAGCCGTGGGAGTGGTGCCACAGTCATGGAGGGGAAGATCAATACTCCCTCTTTGGCCCTCTTGACCCATCTCCTTCATGTCTGTACTTTTGAGAACTTTGATATGTATTTCCTAAAAATCAGAAAAAATAACAATAAGATCACTCCTATTCTAATCATTCTGCATACTCTATAGCCCTAGTTAGTTGTAGTGTAATGGTACCCGAAGACTCTCTGAAAATGGACTTTTTTTCAAAAGTTAGTTCATTACTCTTTTGTAATGAATCCCAAGGCAGGCACTTAAGGGCTGTCTAATGGCACCCTCAAACTTTACAGGAATCCACTCTTCTTTATTCTTGCTCTTCCACAGTTAGTGCACTGCCTGCCGGACTAAGAAGGCTTCTCGAGCTCTAGCCATCACTTCCACATTCTGATGAACAAGAAAAGAAGATGTGAAGGATTTCTTTTCCAGTTTAAGGACATTTCCATGTCTCCATGTGTAACTCATTGGATAGCACTGAGTCAAATGGAATTACTAACTGCAGGGACACTCAGAGATGTAATTTTTACTCCAGATGGCCATGAATCCAGGTAAAACTTCATTGCTAGAAAAAAAGGAGGGAATAGATATTATAGGTGGACATGAAGCAGCCTCTTCCACAATCCTGTTAACTTATTTGATCTTTTTTATCACACAGTCTTGTGAAGTGGGTATGGTTATCACCTTCATTTTATAGACAGGGAAATCAAGGCTCAGAGAGGTTAACTTGTCTGAGGCCATTTTTTTTAAGTTTTGGTTTGTTTTTTTAAAAAAATATGAACCATTTTTAAAGTCTTTATTGAGTTTGTTACAATATTGCTTCTGTTTTATGGATTTTGGCAGCAAGGCATGCTGCCATGGGATCTTAGCTCCCCAACCAGGGATCGAACCTGCACCTCCTTCACTGGAACCACTGGATCACCAGGGAAGTTCCTGTCTAAGGCTGTTAATTAAAGACTTGGGACTGAGCAGCATTCACTGCCCCCAAGCCTGTACAAACATATGATTGTATGTTCACTTATGCCTACTCTACGTATGAGTGGTGTTTTTTCTCTTTATATTACCTAGCTAAGATGTAAGCATTCCCTTTATACCTTAATTTAACTAAGAGAGAGTTAACAGTTTTCAAAAGAAGTGTAGCTAGGAAACCAAAGAGAAAAAGAAACCATAAAGTAATGAAATGGCTGGGCACGGCGGGGCAGAGATGCACAGATTTGGTGTCCTGAGATAACTAAGAGCCAGCTGAGGACTGGCAGGACGAGCACGGACGATGTGCAGGCTCAACTGAAAGGACTCACAGGCCTCTGTGCCTTGCCTGGCCTTCAACCAGCTGTCATTGAACATGCCTGAGGCATATTCATCAGCTAGATGTCCCCTCTAGCTTGACCAGGTATTTGGCTTTGATCTAATCTGGTATCTGGACCTTCCCCTCACTGCCATCTCTGCCCTGGCCCCGGTTCACTGAAAGTTGCTGTCTCTACCTGTTTGTAAACCTGGCGTTCTAGTGGACCACCCCCAGCCGTGTGTCCAGACCAAGGGGTAAACCTCTAGCTTGCAGCATATTAACCCAGCAAAGGTGATTCCACACCCTAATGAATGTCCAAGACACAGTCAGAGCTGTTCACCCTCACAGGTTACCCAGACTTATTTCCCCAGGTGCTCCGTGCAGATGGTTCAGGTCCTCCACCTCCAGCTTGGGCAATGATTAATCCAAGAAAAGATAATCTCCGTCTGTGTAGTAGCAATGATCTCTACAAACGGCTGTTTCTCACACAGCCTGAGAACGCTTTGTTTCTGAATGATTCTGTCTCTCCCGTTTTTCTCTTTCTCTCTCCCATCTGCCTCCTTTTTCTTTCTCCTGTCTCCCTTCCTTCCTGCTTCCCTCCCTCTCTCTCCCTTCCTTTCTTTCCCTCCGTTCCCCCCTTTCTTCCTTCCTGTTTTCCTTCCTTCCTCTTTCTTTCTCTCCCTCTTGCGTGCAGTGTGTGTGTGTGGTGTGGTGTGTGTGTGTGACTGTCAGAGAGCAAACACAGTGTCCGCTCACAATCCAGGTGGGACTCTGTGTTCGCTGCAATGCCCACCTGCTCTAAGAGAAGAGCGCATGCTCAGAAAAGGCTTCCTGGAGGACACGGCCTTGGCCAGCCCCCAAATGGATGGCTGGAAACAAGAAACGTCTTCTGGAAACAGCATGACTCGTTCTCTGGTTCTTCCTGCACACTGCAGCCTGTCTTCCTGTGTTTAGGGTCACACTGTTTCACAAAGAAATCAATAGCTGCTTCAAGGCTAGGAGAGCCATTCAAGAGGATAGCACACTACGGTTCTTTCAAACCAGCACCCCTGGTTAGCTAAGATTCATGGCTTATTTGAGAAACGAATGATTTAGGATCTTGGGCAGCTGTTTTTCTCTTTATAGATGTTGT